CCCAAGAGCCCAAGAGAATAGAGATAGAGGAACTAGCCTGTTTCTACCACAGGGCTTTACATGTTATGTTCAGTACAATCCTGGCATTCAACAAATAACAGAAAACAAGCAGGTTTGTGTTTGATGTACTTGTGGTTATCTATGTTGCTGATTCTACTTCCTTAAACTTATGTGAATTATTTTGGTGAGGAAGAGAATCCAAGTCTTTATGAGGCGTGTCTTATGGATTCTATTCCTGAATGCATAACAAGGTTACACTTGTCTCAAAATACAAATGAATATTTTTAAAGATCTGGAAATAATGTCTCAGTCCTAACCAGTTTCCTGATTGCAAGGTGAATATATATATTTTCAGAATCCCCTTATTCTGTCTTCAGTTTTATAGCAGTAATATTTAGTCCAAAATTAATATCCAGATTGTGCTTAAGAGTCTTTTTTTAACAATCACATGATGTTTGATTTTATCATTCTCAACCTACACATAAGAAAGACTTATGAAATCTAAATAATTATTAGTCCATTGTTGAGCAGGAATTTGAAATCATGTTTGTCTCTAAAGCCTATATTTATAAGCAGAGTTTATTTTTCTTTTATATTCTATTTGCCCTATAGGCTCTATGTATCTGGAGAACAGAGATCTTATCTTTCCATTTCTCTTACAGAGGGTATGATACAGCGCTTAGTACATGGGGCAAATGTACTGGCACATGGGGAGTGCTCAATAAACTTTTGTTGAATTAATGAAAACAACAAAAGATTTTCTCATGACTCACTATCATCCTAAAAACTGTTAGCAAAGGTGTATTCCAACCACAACTTGAGCCACTACTTTACTGCAAGTTTTAACTGTTAGTATGAAATACGAAAGCATCTCTTTGAAAATAAGCTTTGAGAAAACCTTTATTGGTTTTATAAATTTTCCAATTGCAAATTCAGTGGGAAAGAGATTAGATGGAGGAAGAGATCCATCCAGCTCTAGAGATAGATTTTACAAGAATCCAAGGATTTATTTGCAATTTGCTTTATATAGACAATTCACCATATGCCCCAAATAGGATTAAATGTATTGCTTAGGATACATTACACATAAACAAATCTTGGGTATTCATCTGTTTCTCATTGTAAATGAAAAATTCATGGTCTAGGTAGGTCTTTTCATTGGAACAATTATAGCAATTGTAATAATTATTATCATTGTAATCATAATTAAAATTACTCCTTATAACACCATTGCAATTATTTCTTTTTGTCCACCTATTTTGCCCACTTAAAATATCTAAAGATTAGAGGTAGAAGCAAAGTATTAAATAGACCCTGCATGATGTCTTTTAGAGGAACATAATATACAAATATTAAATTTACTTTTTATTTAGTTTTATGAATTGCCTTTGTAGTTTTGTGATTTGTAAGCACCAAGACATCTTGGGATATTTTGAATCTCCATTATAGCCTTTGTTAATTTTTCCTTTCATTCAATCTACTAGTCATTTATTTTTTCATACATTTATTCCCATAGACTTGTATTGGGCACTTTCAAATTGCTTGCTATTCTCATTTCTAGGTATCACTAGCAAGGTAAAGCTGCATAAAATGTTGTCCATTTTCTTGGAAAATTTGCATTTGAGTGACAGACACGAAAAGGAAGTCACTGTGATAGGACAAGATAAGTACTAAAACAGATATGTGTAGTCACTAGGTCTATAGGGGAGGGAGCTGGTGAGATTAGTTGTTGTTTGAAGGATGAGTATGTATACACACACACACACGCACACACACACACGCACACACACACACACACACAGCTCCTCCCTTTGATTATGAGCTCCTGGATTTCTGGAGTCATGTTTCATTTACTTTTGTATTAACCACAACACAAAAAGAATCTTTTCACATATTTTTAGCTCAACAGATATTAACAGAGTTGAATAAATGTATTATCTTTGTGTAAATAATCCTTTCTTGATTTGTCAATAAGATATGATAGAATTGTGACAAATACTGGTTCTAGCTAGTTTTGAACTACATTTCACCACTTGTAAGCTGTGTGACCCCAGCAATAATGTTAGTTATTGTGTTGTCAACATTTGGCTCTGAGGATACAAAAATGAATACTGTGGGTCTCACCTAACAATCCCCCAGGTTCTTTTGTTTCCTTGTTCACATTTTCAGCTCTGTGCTGGATTATACTGAGATTTAAACAAGATCTTAGGACTTTCTATAGGAGGAAAGGTGGCTTTTTGTTTGTTCGTTTCCTTTGGGATGGTTGACACATTGTGAGTGTAGCCATGCCCACTGTAATTTATCAGAATTCCTTGAATGAGAGTTGATTCCATAGTAAACTCAGAGAGACTCCATTCCCAGAGCAACTGTCTTGTTTGTTTCCCTGATGGGAGTGCTGACTGGGAGAAACAAATCCTTGTCTCTGAGGACAAGGCAGCCACAACCAAGCTTGTGAAGAAACCATCATTCGTAATTTGTGAATTCCCCAAAGTGTTGCTGAAAAGCCTCCAAGTGTTTTCTGTATTTGGGTCTGTGGTGGTTGCTTTATATACTACTGTGACTACCTACACAGAGAAAGCCAGTTTTAGAAACACAGTGAAAACGTGAGCCCCTCTCAAGTACAATATGGTTGCATAAAAAATGAATTTTCTGGCTTTAATTATAGACCTGCACAGAGAACAGAAATGTGCAGCCTAGGTACCAGCGTGTGATTTGACCTGGTTATTTCCAGTGAGTTTCTGGAATCTTCTATGAAAAGAACAGCTTTCAGGCAAAATGCGCTTCTCTACTGCTTTTCTCATTTCCCATGCAAGCCAGAGATTCCCTAGTGTCTCTGGGGAAGTGGTAGATGTGTAATTGTCTGATTGTCTTCACTGCTTATGAAAGATTCCTGTGCTATACAGATAAATTCTGCCCTGGTGAATCATGGAAACTACTTATCATTTCATTTTGGGAACAGAAATACCTATGAATTAAGAAAGTATTTGCACATCTTTCACCACTCCCCTACTTCCTAGAAATTTTTTATTGAATTTAGGGCTGAGGGAGTATACTCCATTTGATCATAATTTATCCTCCAAACTTGGGTGGTTTTGAGAGTAGAAGAGCAGCAGGTGTAAACTAGGACTTTTCCAGGCAAACCAGGACATATGATTGCTCTGGTTGAGATGCTTTTATTTGTGTATCCCCTGGTTTCCCAAAACACTAACCATGGTTATTACCTAAAATATTGTCAGCAGCGTATCAGCAACAGAATCTCTGGTGATCATGACTGGTTTTTCTGAGAGCTTTGGAAATAAATGTCAGAGATTGAATTGGTTGCTGCTTTGTTACAGAGAGTTATCCTTCAGCCTAACATAGAGAAGCCATCTCTGTAATCAGCCTTCCGCTTATGTGTGTGTCTCTTGTTGCCTGGTATTTAAAAAGCAGTGGGCTGATTCTGTTACTTAGGATAAGCCCTTTCCCTCCAGGAACCACAGCCTCCAGTTATTTCTCTACTTGAAATTTTAAAATTTTTGGTGATCCAACATATGTCCCAGAGAACCTGGACCTGTAGAATTTGAGGCATAACAGTCTACATGGTTATTTTCTGGGAATTTATAATAAACACACCCATAGCCTGCCTGCACTATCTGAAGGTCCTATACAAATATTAGGTCCTAGGGACTGAGGGCATTTAGAAGCCTAAAGGATGAGATATGTGAAAAGACTTTCTGGGCTGAACAATATGTACTACAGAGGAAGAACGTGGTAGTTGTCTGAGCCGGAGTTGCACAGTATGAGGAACTACACCTTTTCTCTCCTCACTTGGCCAGAATGACTTGAGATGAGAGTATACAGTTTCAAACTAAATTAACAGCCCAGTGCACAACACAGGACTTGTCAAGATAATAGAACCAAAGGTAGCTGATTGTCCTTGAACTGATGCTTCTAACAGGGCCCTGTTAAAAGAAATCCCAAAGTACATTTTATGCATTATGGGTTAGACTCCAATTTTAATTAAATTTATATTCACATGAGTTGGATATTTCAGATATTTCCAAGAGAAGTCAAAGGAGATTCCCAGACAGCAGTGGCTACATTCTGAGAAATAATTACTTGGAGAAATTCTGTAAGAATGAACTGAACCTGATTTAACAATTGCAATTCTCTTTTGTGCAATGGTATCAACCTCCTTCAGTGCAGAGACAAGCCTTTGTGCTAGAAAATCTATACATGATTCAGGTGTTTGCTAATTATAAAAAGCCAGAGACTAGAGAAAAACATACAAACAAATAAACAAAAAAAGCCTAGGAGACTTCCTTTTCTTAAGAATGAGCGAAGATTGAGGATCTCTGATGGACTAGCATAATTAATCAGTAGTTTTTAAAGAACTGGAACAATCGTTCCTAAACTGTGTTCCCCACAGCACTAGTTTTGCAAGATATTAAAGGTATCGCAAGAAAAGGTAGTTATTAGCTAAATAAATTTGGGAAACTTTGCATATTATCAATCTTATCTCAAAGTCTTGCAGGACATATAATTATGACAAGTCTCTGGGGCTGTCATTTAAAAAATCAATTTACTAATATTTAATCCAAGGTTCCTGAACTTATTTGTTCATAAATATCTTCAAAGGACACACAGTAAAATCTGGAATTGCCAATTTAGAAACATTTAATCCAAAAAAAAAGTCATATACACCCAATATCGAAACTGTGTAAAATAGCCTCAACTTAGTTCTTCGTTATTCAGGGACAACACAGCTTTTGAGTTAGGAATTTTTTGTGACCATAAGCTCTCATGCATTGTTCAATATGAGAGAAAACATTCAAGATTGAAGCTTTCAATTCATTTGGATTCTGGAAAATGTGGGATCTGGTTCTTCCGGTGACTTTCATTTTAGGTGACTAAACAGTTTTAATTGATATGTTGACATGAGCATGTTTTAGGCATTTCCTGAAAGGTTAGTGTCAAAAGAAATTAATATCCTCGTGGACTTGTGTTTTTCTCTGAGGCAGATATTGATGAATGTACAGAGGGAATCATTGAGTGCCACAACCATTCCCGCTGCGTTAACCTGCCAGGGTGGTACCACTGTGAGTGCAGAAGCGGTTTCCATGACGATGGGACCTATTCACTGTCCGGGGAGTCCTGTATTGGTAAGCAGCTTTCAGACATGCCCTCCAACCACTCAGACCTTTGCAGGAGGTGCAGCTTGCTTTGGTACTCTGTTCAGCTCCCTGTGTTCAAATATGGCCATTCATTAGTTAAACATAGCAGTTTTCTAATTTTCTCCCTCTGCAATTCAGGGATCAGGCCAGGCATCATGCAATGTGGAGTACTAGAATTTTTATACAGAAATTGTGACAGAGGAACAAAACCTGGGTCTTTATGCTATGGCTTTGCTCTTTCTAAGGAAAACCTTAGTCTTCTTAATTCTTTTTAAGGAAAACCGTGCTGTCTTGTGAAATTTTTGATAGTTTGAGAGGCAACTGTAGAGAGGAAGAAATATTAAAAATATTGGATCCTGGATTTAGAATAAGAAAGTTTAGTTTGAATATTAGCTCTTATGCTGTAAAGGTCACCATAGTCTCTAATCCTTCTTCTGTGTATATATAAACAATGGGGATAACAATATACATATATTATTAGGATTAAATAAGAATAACACCTATTTTAAAATTTCAAGATTTGAATTGATGCACATATATGATATAGTTGCATTAACATTATTGTTGCTATTGCTACTACCATCATCTCTTGCAAAGTCTCCTTTATGGGTCCCTGCTTGTGGTTCTGTTAAATGCTGAACATAGGAAATTAGCAGATGGAGTTATTCACCTTTAAGACCTTACAACTTTCATGAAATCCAAACAACTGATCAAAAACCTAACTGTCTGTATGAGAACCTTAGCCAATCCAATTCGTTCATGGTGTGTGGACTCAGTTGAATTCTTAATGCTGATTTGGACCAACCTAGGGAGCAAGCATTCTGACCTTGGGTTCCCAAAGTTCAGCTTGCTGAATTAGAAAATGAGAATTTGATTTTGAAAATTTGTTTTCTCTGCTTAGGGCATATTATTTTTTTCTAAAGGCTGCTGCAGATATATAGTCAGTGTTTTTTCATCTTCTCTACTGGTGTTGATCTAAAGCAAAGATGAACTCACGGCCATGTGGCATGAATTATCTCCTACAATCTTGACATTATTGTTGAGAGGCAGGTAGTGTAGTTACTAAAAGCATAGACTTTTGGGCCAGATGTTGGCAGTCAAATTCCAGCTGTGCTGCTTCTAAGTCGTTTACCATGGACAAGTTTCTGTCTAGTCTGTGCTTCAGCTATCTCATCTGTAAAATAGAAACAATGTTTCTATCTTATCGAGATGAGTCTTGTGATAATTAATTGGATTAATATCTGTTAAATGTTCAAGAAATGTCAGCTCTTATTTTAAATGTCACTGTGTATTCAGCATTCTACCCCATACTCTGTTCACACTTCTTTTCCTTTACATATTGCCAGGTACTTCTGTACATATGCAGCTCATTGTACATGGATGTCATATGAACAGGAATAGGTCTAGTGGCTATTGTTGAGCAATGAAGATAGAATATTAACATATGAAATTAAGCATGGTAGCTAAAAGAAAATTTTAATTTTTACAGATTATATTTGACATCATTAAAAGGGGAAACTCTTAGATTTTTAGCACACAAAGGACCTTAGAGACCAGCTAGTGAAACCAATTTTATTTGTTCATTATTTTATGTTTTGCTACTTTTAAATTCAAGGGATACAAGTACAGGTTTCTTCCATGGGTAATCTACACATTGCTGAGACTTGGTGTATGGATGATCCTGTTACCAAGGTAGTGAGCATAGTACACAATAGGTAGCCTTCCAAACCATACCCTTCCCCTTTCTTCCCTTCTTAGGCAGTCCTCAGTATCTTTTGTTCCTATCTTTGCGTCTATATGTATTCAATGTAGTTAAACCAATTTTATAAGTGTTTCGACCTGCCATGGGATTGCACACTTCTCTGCCTTCGTATAGGCTGTCCCCTCTGGCTGGAATGAAACATGATGATTCACATATGAATTTAATATTCCTAAATTAACTTATGTTTCACCAAGTCCCCATGAAGTATTCTTTGGTGCCTTCCTAAGACTTGTCACTCCTTTCTTCTGCTAACTCTAGACCTTTTTGTTTGGTGTATGTTTTAGTAGCGTCACTTGTACAATTTATTTGCTCTCTTACTAGACTGTGAGGTTTTATTCTTCTGCCTCTGCAGTGAGACCATTTGGTGGTTGTTGTTTAACAAATGTGAAAATGTAACCATATCATGTGATCAATAAAGAAACTCAGTCTCAGAAAGGTGTCACCTCATTCCCAGCCACATAACTGGTTTGGATACAAGTTGAGGATCAGATCTAGGTTAAGGGAGCATCTAGGAACAGTTTCAGTTTATGCCCCTTGTTTCGATGTTGTCTGGAGAGCCCTGCCACCCTCATAAATGTCCCTGGCACCTGTCCTGGTGCTGATTTCCCTCTAATATGCTGAGTAGCATGCCTGAAGGAGGAGGTGAAATTCCTGCACTCTCAGAGAGCCTCTTGCTTCATCTACAAACTGATCCCTGTTCTGCACAGGAAAACCTCAGTGAAATGGACTCCTTGGAGTTGGAGTTGTTTGAATTAGTGGCATTTTTAATTTGGGTAATTGATAGTCTAAATTTCCTTTCATTTCCACACTTTTGGGAAAATGTTTGTAAATGAGCCTTCAAAAGGACAGAAATCTGACCATCACTTAGGATTTCTGTGGTAGTTGAGACTAATCTGTTGGTTCAGAATAATTCTTGGACAACAAATAAGTAAGTCAGATAATGACACTTACTTATTATGGCCTTCTAATGCCTTCCCAATTAATGTAAAATAAATTTCTAACATTATATGGCTTTCATGGTTTTAGATGATATTGGTCCTGCCTGCTTCTTGGACTCATTTCTCATATATGTAAGGCTTTTTGATCTTTTCACGCCTTGAACATGACAAAAAGCTCATTTTAGTTTTAGGGGCTTTGCCTTTATTGTTTTCCCTATCCGGAACACTCAACACCTCTCTTGTTGTGTGGCTGCCATGTTACTTAGGTCTCAGATAAACGTCACTTCTTCATGGAGACCCTCCCTAACTTTGCTCTGACATAATCCTTCCCTACTCACTTTGTTATAATACTCATTTATATCCTTTTTTAAGCATTTTTATTCACATGCACATGTGTATAATATTCTCTTGCCACAAGTATACAAGTTGTTTGACAGCAGAGACTTTGTTTGCCTTTTACCTCTGTATGCCCAACCTCTAAGATAATGTAGTCAAAGAGAAGGCATGTAATGCATATATGTCAAATGACTGAAGGCATAGACGTTCAAAACTGTCTCAGGTCAGATTTATTTTCTATTTTGTTTGGTATATCTAGTTGTGTAGATTGTGGTGCATGACATAAGATGTTAGATATCACAAAAGCATGTGAGTCTTTTATTTTAAAAAAAATGTTTATTGAGAGCAACCATCATACTAGCACTGCCTTGGGTCTTCTGGAAATATGGTTATGAACAAGTTAAGATGCCTGTTCTTGAGAGATTAATGACCTGACATATTCTGGATCATAATAACATAGCTTAATGGCACTGAAAATGAGCACATCTGAATAAACTCTAAATAACATCAACCACTAATGCTTACATTTAGAAGAAATAGCATCTAAAATAAACTTTACAGTGTTTTTTAAAAGAGTGGTTTTCAACATGTACTCAGCTATGTTTTTTTTTTCTTCAGACAGTGGCATATGTCATCTAAAATGTATCAGTTTAGGCTTTTAGAAGAATAGTCTCATGCCATGCTATGTCACTTTTTTCCAGAGGAGGATAATAGCACCTTCACCACTGATCTTATCCATTACTGTAAGCCTTCGATAATATCGGTATCATAAAGAACAGCATGCTTGTAAGATTTCTTACTTTGTGAGAAAAAATGTTTAAGATTTGCCTTTTTCTCTTAAAGTATAACATATGTTTGAAGAAATGACCAGTCCTAGTATTGCAGAGGCAGACAGAATCACTATTCTTGAAGAGCTTATCAGAGGTAGTCTCTTCTCCCTCTCTATCTCTCTCCCTCTTTTTGTCTGTCTCTCTTTAGCTTGTATATCTTTATAATGCCAGGAGAAAATCGTACACAAAAATTTGCAAATTGCAATTTGCAGAAGAAGATGATGGCAGTGATTTTTTTGTACTGTAAGGTACAGTGCACTCTGCGTTTTGATGTAGTGGTAGTGGTCAGTGATTCTCAGTTTTAATATAGAAGTTGTGAGTAATTGCTCTTTTATCTAGACATAGTTATCTGGGTCATTTAAAAATGAGAAGAACTAATATATAATTAACAATGGCATGTATAAACAGCAGTACTTTGCATATTTTAAAAATGAGATTCAGACTCTTTGGAATGTCAATCAGTTTGCATGATATTGCTATCACAAATGAAACTTTATTTTCCTCTGTTCCCTCTTATACTTTGCATGGATACTCAAGCCTGCTAAAATCCTTATTCTGCTCTTCCTAAATCCTGCATTCTCTTTCCTCTACCCCTTTGTTTGTATGCTTTTCACTGACTATCCCCATAGTCCTATTTCCATTAGTTAAAATCCTGATGAAGTCTTACTCTGTATAAAGCAGGGATTCTCAAAACTGTGTCATAGTAGATTCAACAGAGTAGTGAAACAGGAGAGTTCCTTGACCTGCTTTACAGGACTTGTGACAAAGATGTGGCTTGTCTGTTCGCCTGCCATGTTCTCTCAAACCCCTTACAGGAAAGGGAGTACACAGATGGGCAAGTACAGGAGCTGGGGCAAGAACTTTTGGGGTCCGGCCCCACAGTAACATGTAGGAGTAGATGCCTGCAACTCCTGAAGCTCAAGTGGGTGTGTGTTACAGTATGTTCTGTTAGCTTTGCCATCCACAGGCAGCATAAGTGTTAAACACCTCAGTGGACCCTCAGCCTTTTCACAACGCCAGAGGGTCAGTGTAACAGCTTTCTATATCTCAAGCTCTTGCCTGATGTCCAGGAAAATCAGTTCATGCACGAACTTGAAGGATGGTGAATGTGGGGCTTTATTGAGTGGTGGAGGTAGCTCTCAGTGGAATAGATGGGGAGCTGAAAAAGGGATGGAGTGGGAAGATGATCTTCCCCTGGAGTTTGTCCAACAGCTAATCTCCTCTCTGAGTGTCCCTAGCCAAACTCCTTTCGACATTCAGATGCTCCTTCTCTTCTCTTCTTCTCTGCTGCTGTTCTGCTCTTCTGTTTGTATGCTCATCTGCTTGTGGAACCTGGGGTTGGAGGTTTCTATGGGTACAGGATATAGAGGTGTGGTGGGCCAAAAGGCAGCTTTTGAGTGTGAAACAGAAATTCCTGTTCCCCTTTAGGGACATGGGTTTCCAGACCTGAGGGGGAGCCTTTGACAGGGAACTGCCCTCTTCTACAGTATTTCCCTGTCTCTTGTCCATATCAGTAGCTTTTAAAAAATGTCTGTGATGGGACATTATACATCCTGGAGATTCATATTCACTTGGTCTGGTATGGGACCTAGATTGACATCCTTTCCTAAAATTTGTTTAATTTTTTTAATCAATTCATAATATTTTTGCATATTTGTAGGATACATGTGATATTTTGTTGCAACCATAGAATGTGTAATGATCAAGTCAGGGTATTTGAGGTATCTACCACCTTCTGTATTTATAATTTCTATGTGTTGAGAACAATGGGAGTCCTCTCTTGCAGCTATTTTGAAATATATAGTATATTGTTGTTAACTACAGTCACCCTACTCTGATATCAAACATTGTAACTTATTCCTTCTGCCTAACTGTATTTTGTACCCATTGGCCAACCTCTCTTTAACATCCATTCCCCAACCTGCACACCCTTCCCAGTCTCTGCTATTAATCATTCTCCCTACCTCCATCAGATCGGCTTTTCTAGCTCCTACACAAGTGAGAATATTAAATATTTACCTCTATATGACTGGCTATATTAGTCTGTTCTCACACTGCTATAAAGAACTACCTGAGATTGGGTAATTTATAAAGAAAAGAAGTTTGATTGGGTCATGGTTCCACAGGCTGTACAGGAAGCATAGCTTAAGAGGCCTCAGGAAACTTACAATCATGGTGGAAGACAAAGGGGAACCAGGCACATCCTACTGAAGCTGGAGGAAGAAAGTAAAGGAGTGGGGTACAATGTACTTTTCAACAACCAGATCTCATGAGAACATACTCACTATCGTGAGAACAGCAAGGGGGAAGTTCACTCCCATGATTGAATCACATCCCACCAGGACCGTCCTCCAACACTGGAGATTACAATTTGACATGAGCTTTGGGTAGAGGCACAAATCCAAACCATATCACTGGCTTACTTCATGAAGTCATTTTTTAAAAGACTATAAGTAATTATTAGAAAGACTATTTGGTCAGTATCAGAGAACCACTGTCATATAGTTCTTCTAATAATAATAATAAAAATTTCTCCCCTGTTATTTGTCTTCATAGTCATTTATTTGCTATTCTTTTATAGAATTTAGCAGATAAGACTTGTGTTCTTAATTACATCTTTATCACCTACAGAATGACTGAGGTCTTTTTTTTTGATACATTTTATCAAATTAATGTTGAATTAAATTGTACTGGTTGTGCTTTTTTTGTTATCAAACAAAATGTTTCATTCACAATGAAGCCCATGTTGTTCTAGAGACACACTCAAAGATGACATATGATACAGCTATTCTTACAGGACCGAGCACCTGTTGGCCTCCTGTTACTATCTCCTTTATAGCACTTAGTTGGATGAAGCAGTTTCCCAGAGTCTAGAGCCTGCTTTCAGGTGCAAATGGCACAGTGAGGATTTACTTCTCAGAGTAGCTGCTGAAACCATGGTCACCGTGCAAAGCAATATGAATCAAACACGTTCCACTGAAATCCCTTGGGAAAGAAATTTCCATTTTATCTGGTGGATGTGTCAGGAATAACTGAAATGGTCTAAGAATGATTTCGCTTCAACTTCTTCTGCTCAGTTCCTGTTTTTCATAGGAGTGGAGATAAAAAGGGGTAGAATCTGGAGGTGCTCTATCTGTAAAAATGCTCTCAGTGACAAACCTCACTGAAGTGGGGGATTTATGAAGGCTTAGCAGGCAACACTGTGATGTAATGGACAGGCAGGTTTAAAGGACATAAACCTGGATTCAATCCCAACTTGGCCACTTTCTAGCCTAGCAGCATTTGGAAAGATATTTAACCTTTCAAAACCTTAGTTTTCTCAGTGTGCAGTGATTCAAATAATACTTACAATGGAACTTTTTCTAATGTGTGTTTTTATATGCACATTTCCTGACAAGTATTATATAGTAATTGTTAACATTTAACCTCCCTCTACCTCAGTTCCCTTACCTGTCACAGGGAAACAATAACAGTAGTACTAATAAGAGATAACATTTACTGAGAGCTTACTTTGTGCCAGACACTGCTCTCAGCAATTTACAAAAGCATCAACCTCATAGGTTGCTGTGGAGTCATCGTGTCAATTAAATGAGCTAACAAAGGAAAGAAGTATTCAGCACTTAGATTTTAAGCACTCAATATATGTTAGACATTTTCATTAACTGAACAACTGCATGATGTGCTAGACACAGAACCAGGAAATTTCATGTATTTTCTAATTTAATTTCACAGTGGTCATAGGAGGAAAGCCTACTTATTACCCCCATTGTAAAAGTGAAGAAAGTATGAGCCCAAGGATAGAGAACTTGTCCCAAATTCCACAGCTGATAAATGGCACACCGAAGCCATAATCCAGGTGTGTTCGATCCCAAAGCTTCTGCTCTTAATATATTCACACTGTACTGTTTTCTGGAAGGGAGGAGCCCAGTGATGGGCTCATAGGTAGAGGAGATGTAAGGCAGAGCAGTTGGAGATCAAAGAGACAAGGCAAAGGGAGCATGAGAGAAATAGGTGAGACCCAAATGGACATTTACAATATTCTCTCTGTGTCATGAGCACTAGAGACTTATTTTATTCACTGGAATCAAGGGATGTGTTCTGGGGCCATCCTTCTGAGCCATGGGCAGAAGGTCTTAGCCATGACTAAGTAACATGTTTTTGACAGTTAATCTGAAAACAACCTTTATAATAATACTACTGGGATATCCACTGATGTCATTACCTTCTTTGCATTTCTAGTGATGTAAATCCAGAGAAGAAAAAGGAAAGAGAGGGTGGCAGAATAAAGAGAAAGAGAAAACAGTGGTAGACAGATTTTTAAACAAATTTTTACAATGTACTTATTTATTAATTATACACTGCTTCTTAAAAGCAATTAGAATATTATATACAAAGATTACATGTTCAAGAGTTATTTAAAATAAAAATATTTGAAAATAAGGAAAATGTATTAACCAATGATAGTTGTCAAAGATGTTCATGAATATTTTGGCAGTCATAGAAAATGGGAAACATGAGTATATAAATTATTCTAATTTAAACTGAAGTTGCATACATTATCGTCAAGTCTCACATGTGCTGTTTTCTCTATTCCAGGGAAGAGATATGTCAGGGTGGAAAAGCACCTTAGTGGACTTGGGTATTTCAAACTAAGAAAGTTTAAGAGACAAGGCATAGACACTAATCCCAGGACACTCATAGATTTTCTCCTTATGCTAGGCAATAAGACTCACCCACACATAAGGTATTTTTGGTTAAATGGCATGCCACTTTTCTTTGATAATGTGTAGTGTGGTCTCATTATTTCAAAATTGTTGTTTCCATAGAGCTTTATACACAGTTTTATCAAAGTACTAAATTCTCTATCATTGAAGAGCCTTCCTTTAAGCAGATGCCACTTAGCCACGTCACTGTTTAAATAGCTTTGTGCACCTAACTAGAATCAGTATGAAGTAAATGCAAGCACGATTTTGGGACTCAGAGGGCCTCAGTTGCATGACACAAAATTTCCATATGTCACTAAAAGTTTCAGATGGACAGAGAGACCAAGACCCAGACACCACCTCAGTATGGAATGTATATTATCAGGACACAGAATTGAGAGATTAAGAACATTTTACAGCATCTAACAGAAAAGATCTTCTGGGTACCCCAGCAAGGACTGTACAGTGGACTAGTTGCAGATGATAAATTAGGTGAAAAATAAATCACATCGGACCCTCTGGAAGCTGGCCTGCTCTTTTTCAAGTCTAGCCATACACACTTAAAGCCTAGAGCTATTTAGCATGTGGGGTAACTTGGATATATTTTACAGACTTCTCTGGGAAGGCAAATGCACCTCCTCAGTTTCGATGATAATCACTTCACAAAATAACAGCAGAATAGAGTAAATTACTAGACTCAGAAGTGAACCCAAGTTTTATTCATTACCCACAACCTAGCTGGGCTGACAGAGCAAGCCTACAAGTTGTTTTCTATGTGTACTTTTTAGGAGTTTCCAAGCATTTCTGGGAGTTAGTCTAACACAACCTAACAACTAGCAGTAGGGGCTATCCTGTAAGCCATTCCCAACCTGTTTGTTATCTTTCCAGTTGCAATCTTTTAAATACCTTCCTAATGACAACTATGACTAGTCATAAAGAAAAATAAAAACCCAAACAAAAAAATCCAACATTGGACCATGACATGAAGCCATGATCAGCATATGGGGAGGGAGGGGAATTGCAGTTCTAGCTCAAGTGAAGATCACATGGGCAATAATGAAAAGGAGAAAAATTAGAAAACTATGGCTGTGTGCAGTGGCTCACCCCCGTGATCCCAGTACTTTGGGAGGCCGAGGCGGGTGGATCACGAGGTCAGGAGATGGAGACCATCCTGGCCAACATGGTGAAACACCGTTTCTACTAAAAATAAAAATAAATAAATAAATAAATAAATAAATAAATAATAAAGTAACTGGGTGTGGTGGCATGTGCCTGTAATCCCAGCTACTTGGGAGGCTGAGGCACAATAATTGCTTTTAACCAGGAGGCGGAGGTTGCAGTGAGCCGAGATCTCACCGATGCACTCCAGCCTGGACAGAGCAAGACTCTGTTTCAAAAAAAAAAAAAGAAAAGAAACCCACTTAAAAAAAAAACCTTCACAGGTATTGGGATGTTATTATGTTACTATAAGTATTATATCCTTAAAAAATACCCTATAGTGGCCTTAGCACTAAGCTAGGTGGTATGTAAAATGCAAAGAATTTATACTATAGAGAATTTTAAATTCCATGTTGAAGACAAAAAAAAACCAACGTACATAAAACAACCAATAGTCTTCTGATATAGGTTGTAATTAACTTTAAAATATAGGGTCAACACTATAAAATATATAGGTGATTAGGGAAGAACGTGATTAGAGAAGATCAAAGAACAGTCATACCACAATGCTTAGGGCTAATTTGACTTGAAGGATGGAAGGCTTTAGGTATTTTATAGGTATAATAATAAAAGTAAATATTAATATCTAAGATTAATTCATTACTTCATGTTCTATGTCCTCTTCTAAGAGCTTGACATTTCTTTACTCATTTTATCCTCAAAACAACTCTACTAGGTATAAATATTTGTGATCTCCATTTAATGGACAAAAAGCCTTTATTTTATATTGTGAATGCTCTAAATTTATTTGGTCTTAGAACCCTTTTCTCTCCCAGACGTCTTATGGATTTGGTTTCTATTACTCTAAAATAAACTAATTGAAAACTTGGGAATGAACATAGCCTACTAGGAATTTCTAGAAAACCTTATTTACTCAGTATCATTGAATAATGAGCTGTTTCAGATAAGTTTTCTTTTTTTCAGTTCCGTGGCAAAAAATGATTGCATACATTACTTGCTCTATAACTGTCAGAATTTTTCTACTACTATCTTAACTTTGGTTTAAGGATATCCTTCCCATATGTGCCTATTTGTCTATTACTTTTTAAAAATATGGTCATTAAAAATGTGCACTACTAAAAACAACTGTCAATTATTGAGTGACATTCTAGGTTTGTCCCTAAGGTAAATGTTTCCAGTCATAATGTTTTTGAGAAACATATTTGTCTTTTATGTAGGTATTTCGTCTTCTTTCCACATTGTCAAGCTAATCTCTACTTTTTAAAATGCCATTTTGAAGGTTTCTCTCATTCCCACTGTGATAAAGAGTTGGTTATGTGATGTCTCAGACCACAGGAACTCAGAAGTCAGGTACAATTTTAGATTTTGGGGATATAAAAAGGATTGTGAATCAGGATTTCACAAGTGCTGGATGACAATTTTGTATTCTGTGAATAGACCTGGTGGGAGTCCTGAGAAAAGGAGGACATGGGTTGGGGACTTAGAGGCTTTATTGGAGAGCTGAAACTTGAAGTGAAAGAATTGGGTAATACCCAAGGAAAAGATTGATATGTTCCCCTAAAAAGGTGCTTTGTAGTGTGGTTATGGTTTTAGGGCCCTTTCCTCACTGTGAACTTGACTTTTTGGAAGACAAGCAACAAGAGAAGCTTTTTAGTGTTCTACACAAGATCTTGAAGTTTATACGCAAATTGTACTTCATAAGTTTTAAATGTCTTTTTTTTGGTAAATTTTTTTGTAAATTTTCTTTGTAAATTACCTGGTTTTGAATATATCTTTATTAGCAGCATGAGAATGGACTAATACAATTATCTACAATTTCTTCGAAATAAATATTGAATAGTTTTTTTGTTTTTGTTTTTACTTTGATATCACTCAAGCTGCCGTGAAATATTTACCTGTGTGCTTATGACCAGGGAATTTAATCTGTAGTACCCAGATCAATTAAAGCACTGCCAGCATAAAATCACCGGTCATTTGTTAAAAGAGCATTTATTGAAAGCATCTGGTTAGTGTTAGTACCTGTACTAAGCCTTAGGCGTGCAGAGAGGAATATGACACAGCCTTTCCAGTCTGAAGTGGAGACAGTGGAAGTGAACAGGGAATTGGGGAGGCTGTACTGTGGACCAGCTAGATCATAAATCAATTAAAAAAAAAAGATGCAAAGAAAAAGTGACTAACTTCTCATGGAGTTAGGATATTTGGGGATGGCAATGTATATGGTAATCTTTCACAGAATATATAGTTGCACCAGGCCTATAGAATGAGAAGGAATTTTTTCCAGGCAAGATACTCATTAAGGGAAGTATTCCAGGCAGTAATAGTAATCTGATTGTAGATGCAGGCATGAAAGTAATCTAATTGTGTTCCAAGAATGGTGAGATTTTCAGTGTGGATGAAGCAGAAATCCACACTACTTCAGTGTGGTGAAGGGTAGTGTGTTCTAAGGCAAGGAGTTATAAGTTTTGAATTTTATTTCATAGTATCAGCGTCACATTATTTTGTTTTGAAAATGCAATCATTTGTAAAGAAGTTGCTATTTTTAATATGACATGTA